CACATAGGTTAAAAAAAAAAAATACAAACACATACATAGCTTTTGTTACTAAAACTTTTATTAGGTAAAAGCTTTGAGCATTTAGCCTAAAGATAAGCCATTACCTATTGTTCTCTTTCTGCAGGGCTCACCTGTCCTTATTTAAGTCTGTGATAAAGAGTTTAAGTGATTCAGACATAACTTAGCAAGTCCATCAAAGTCAAGGTTTAATAAGCTCAACGATGGATCCCATTTCAACTTCCAGAATCTAAGCATTTTTGTAGGCCTTATTTTTCTGGTGCTAAAATCAATGGTAGGATAATTCATCCAGATTGCCACCATCTGTGGGCAATAAATTTTCCCTCAAGAAGTCATCTTAACAGTAGATGTTAATTTCACTTGGACTTTAAACACATCATGAGTATAAGCTTGAAGTGCTTAAAAATACAAAACTGCTGAACTATGTAATTTTACACGACTAGAGCAGCTGGCCCATGCATACATACTTATGCTCAAACTTGAAATTCAAGTTCTACTTCTGTTACTTGATAACATGATTTGTTTTCTTAAGATTCAGCAAGAAATATTGATAAGGTTTTTCTTTTTCCCTTTTTTTTTTTTCCTTCAGAATTTCAGTACAGTTTCAAAAGATGGTCTAAATCTTGCAGAGGTCTGTTGAACTGTAAAAACTAGTACCATAGTTCACCGTTTTTATTTTCCAAATTTTTGCATATTTTCATTGTTGGTAAAGCACAGAGATAAAACAGAGACATAAGATAAATTTTGTCCTGCCTCAGCACTAATCTAAAATATGTGAAAATCAATATTCTGTACTGATGCAAGAGCTTAATATTTTAAAGCTTTTAATTTCAATGCTTAAAGAATCCTAACAAACTTTAATTTAAATTAGTATCACAGATATTTTAAACAGATATTGTGAACAGTCTAAATGACGAACATAGTAGCAGTAGTAGTAACACCACCAACAAAAATCAAGCAACTTCCTTAAAATGTGCAACATTTCCTGAAATAAATATTTGGAAAGGTGCCTGACAATTTTTTTTGTTTGTTTGTTTTCTAGGCTGATTATACATATGAATAAAGTATATACACACACAGGTTTGCAAATGCAACAGTACCTGTACCCATAGTGGTAACTGTTTACAAAGATCTTGCAGAACAGCTTGAGTGTGCCTTTTGTTCACATCCCAGTCTCACAGGTTTTCATCACAGGTTGCCCATCTTTGTATTCTGTTACTGAAGAAGCTTTACATTTCAAAAACTTGTATGAAATTAAATTATGTGTCTACATTAATTTCAACTGCAAGAAATTAAAAGTTCTTTCCAGGAATGTGTAGATGCACATGCTTCCCAGCAGAGTAATTCTTTGCTTTTCTTGTCTGTATATCTATTATTTTGCTCCAAAAGTAGTACCATTTAAACCCATGGAATGGCTCATGGAATTATTATAGAAAATGGATAACAACAGCACACCTTAATTCAGCCAGGACTTCTACACTAATGGTTAAGTCATACAGAGTCAAAAGGGCAAACGTTTTAATGAAAATAATTTCTGCAATTTACGGGTACTAGAAAAATATAGATATTGAGGTATTTGCTCGTTACCAGGCTGAAAGAAAAATCTCCTCTTTCATATCTCTATTTTTTCATTTTAAAATGCAAACTTCCCTGGCTGTTATAACTAAAATGTCAGGTTATTAAAACTAAAATCTCAAATCTAATGCTTTAATTTTGCTGAATGTTCAAATAATTTTAAACTAAAAAAAAATTACTACTCAATTTAGTCACAGTTTTGACTTCTGTAAAATTTTTGTTATATAATATTATGTTAAATTATACTTTTGAATATCATTTATTCATATAAACTTAAAAACCTACATGACACTGGATATCATAGCATTTCAAAATATGATTTTTACCAGCTGGCCACATATTGAAAAGGCAAGGGCAGAAACCAAACTTTTTATTACTGGGATAGTCAAGTTGCTTACAGCCAACTTTAAATACAGCATTAATTTGTTCCAGGAAATATATTTAAAACAAACAAACAAGCCACATGCATTGCATGTAATAGTCTTAGTTTTGTCACGTTCTGAAGGCAGGTCTACTCAAAAGTGTAAATGTATAATCTTCTACTGCAATTTTACTTGATGAGTTCCAATGATCATAGCGGGCTCGACTGGTTCTGAGGCACTTTGAATTCTTTGAACATGAAAAGAACAATGATGGTGACATAGTAAAATAAAGTTACCAGATTGTGAAACAACCTAAGCCAATATTATGTCACTGATTTCAGTACCTTATGCCTTGGTATAACTTCTGTTAGGAAAAAGAGAAATTACACATTTTCATCTCATACTAGGATTTAATAGGTAATGAGATGACCTAGAGAGAACTCACTTTTCTAAAAGTGCTGGCAGAACAGGAGTAGATGTTAGATTGCTCCTTCCATTACTAGGTGATTCAGACTGTAAGTAAAAAAACAGCAATAAAGGTTACATTCATTCATTAATTTCAAATGAGTCTTCAGTAAAATGACAAAGTCAATGTGCTGCTTGGGTTTTTCTTCCCACACCCAGAAGAAAGGTATCTTTAATATGGAACTTCCAAATTATTCCCACTAACCACAGTAAACAATGGACATGCACACTAAGAAGAATTTTCTGTGACATTCCCTTCTACCCTGCTTATTTTCTCTAAAAAAAAAAAAAAAAAAAAGGTCGGTCTTCTTTATATATTGATCACTGAACAGTAAAATTATCATATTGCTTCTCTCTATATTATCCTAGGAACATTGATTTGTTAGCTAAATTTTCCATGGAAAATTTTAAACAAAAATTAATCATAATAATTCATGGTACACAAACACAATTGGTTCCTGAAACAATTGAGTACATAATAACTAAATTGCACAAATAGATTGTTTTCTTAAAACTAGAATGGATTTAGCTTCTCAGCAATATCCCCCATTTAAACAGCCCTAAGTTTTTAACAGAAAACTGTCTAATTTTCAGGTTACCTGCCATCTTAGCTCATCCTGAACAGTCGGTATGTCTTGTAGTTTTCCTCAAAGACTAATTAGATTCAGATTAGATTCTCACTTTATTAAAATTTTATAAACAAAAAGTCAAGGCAAAGGCTGATAGCTCCACTATTCCCCTATCATCACAAAACTTCTAAATTTGTATGACAAACATTTCTGTATGTTAACTACATGTTTTTCTGTTTAGTGAACTTTTTGGCAATGAAGAGAAGCAGTCCAATCATCTTCTATAGATTCTAGTTAAAATTTCTCTCCTACAGTGCAACTATTTTTACTACTTCTTTCCAGTACTCTACTACAGATTAAAAGGCAAATTGCCTCAACTAATGCCTAATGCCTCTGAATCAACAGCTAGCCCTGTTCAGCTCTGTGTCCAAGTGATCATTTATGGATGTAGATTCTGAAGGCAAATGTCCCTTACACAACAGGAATTACCTTTGTCCATCCCTTTCACTAGGATGGAGTCAAACCAAATTAAACCAACGAAAGGCCTTACATTTTTTAGTAACTATGGCTTGGCCCTATGCAAAAGTGGTTTAGACAAGTAGTATTTTTAAATTGTGGGTTTTACTTACCAGGGATGGCATTGAAGGTATAGGTGAAGCTGTTGGTGACTGACCAGGAATATTTAAGGAGTTAAATTTAGGAACAACAGCAACACTGACTCTCCTCCGAGGCATATTCTGTGACAAAAAAACATTTTGTTTTCCATCATACAAGATAGGCTGAAGAACAATTCTACAAGTAAACAGATGTGGCAGAGATGAAGGTTAATGTCCCTTGGGGGAAAGGAGAGTTGGGAGCAAAATTAAGATAAACGGCTGTTAGGGCTGTAGTTTTCCCCCAAAATTCCTCCAGTACTGTCTGGTATGGCAAGTGCTTAGTGTGAAATGAGGTGTTGTACAGGGATGCTACCCTTTTCCCTCCAGGGAAAGCCCAATCGTGTAAATCACACAACAGATATGTTCTGAGCAGACACTGTTAACTCCTATTAGAGGCTGTTATCTTTGGTTAAGCCAGATGTATAATGATACTGGTGTCACAATGACCAGAAAATAGTGAAACTCTTCTCTTGCCATGTACCCATTATGATATACAGTGCACACTATGATGCAGTACTTATTTCTAAGCCTACAAATATAATTTATGAAGACCATGGAAATTCTTTATATGATAGCTTTACACAATGTATTCTAGCTCAAATATAGATCATATAAGTTTTTGCTGTCACTAGGCAAGTACCCAAATACTTCATCCTATGATATACACGTAGTGAAATCTAGGCTTCCCAGTGAGTAAAAAATCCAAACACATACAGCACCTAACAGCTTCATCTTAGAGCATAACCAAGCACTTCTAAGATTCTGCTCTAAATAACTTTACAGGAAAGGAGTTAAACAAAGGTTTACTAAATATATAGAAGTCACCTACTCCATGATCCTTCTTCTAGACAAAAATGAACTATATCTATTCATTAATGATGGAGATTTATCTAATGTGCTCCTGAAAAACTATACTGGAGAGTCTGCAGCCATGTTGGGCAGTCCATTCTAGTCTTTTGGGTTACACCCCAGCCCCTTTATTATTTGGACTGGTACTTAGCCTTGTTAAATTTCATCTTTTTTTTTAGGACCTCTGTTTCAGCTTATCTGGTTCTTATTCTGAAACTAAGTCTTGCCCTCAGCATTGCTCTGTGCTCTAATTCTTTCCATTCAGCACTCAAAGGTGGCAGGAATAAACTAAAGAACTACAACCTAAGCAAATAAAAATATGAAAAGAAAAAGTAGACTGAATATAGCACCTCTGACCACCAAATTTCATAATGGTCACATTGGGACTTGGCTATCTCAAATCACTAGTTCTTTCAGGAAGTTTTGCAATAAATTTGATCTCCAGCACTTGGGAGGTTTTGCAGAAATGGAACACTCGCTGGCTGTGTTAAAGTTATTAACTAGTCAAGCCAAAACAGTCTGAGATTATCTCGCACTCTGAATGCTTTGGCAAACCAAACAAGATATTCTGATGCTAACTGAAAACTGAGCCCAACTTAAAAATAACTATTTACAACTAAGGTACTCTAAACATGATATAATTCTTAAGATAATGAAAAAAGTATGATCATGGAATCCCTGATCATATAGTAAGTTTTGATACAATGTTCAGCTTCCTCACTGAGGAACTGGAATAAAGCACAGGACCTAAGCCATTCTCTGGAGCACAGGTACATGGCCTGGAATACAATTATTCTTAAATAAATAGGTGCCTCTGTTATTTATAGCTTCACAGCAAGCATTATCATTATCCTACAGTCATTTGTAATTATGTATCCCAAATTACAAAGCATTTGCACTAAATTACGTGAACAATATTGAGAATTTAGCAGCACTGCGTTTTGAATACAGCTTAGAAAATTGAAAGTATGCAGACAAAGAAATTTCACTACACAAAATGTTCACTTTGCTTTCTTTATATTGTAGAAATACCTTTCCAACAGTAAGAGACATGGATCTAGATGAACGAGGTACTCCATCTTCTGCATAAAAACAGTAGATAAAGAACAATCTATAAATAATATTAATAGAGTCCTTGCTTATATTTCAAACTCAGATATAGTATATTTATATAACGTCTGTAGTGACTGCATATTTATCTGCCATACTGTTCTGGTCTCAATTATACCGGCAGAAAAAAAATTAAATAATAATTTTGCCATCATCTGTCATCTAAGATGCAGTTGCATTAAAACTGTGCAAGCTATGCGTATGTGCATAGAAACAAATTAAAATGTCATTGGATCTCATCAGAATTCGGTAAGTGAAGGTGATTTTAAATTACAATACTATAGCACTAAGTAAGGCTTATATTAAATATTTCAGCTGTTTTATCTATAACTTTTTGAAATCTGCTCCAGTAGATCAGATCTTCATGAAGAGATTTCACAATACTTTGCTTTTTATCATAATAGCACCTGACACCTCCCTGTATAGAGGCAAGTCAAACCCTTAATTTTTTTATTTTTTTTTTACCAGATGCACCATAGCTTCTGCTAGAATTCTGATTGGCAAGTTTCTTGAACTCCATTAGTTCAGCATGATCCTTTTCATATGTTCTTTTCAGATTTTCCACATACTGCATCATTACTTCTGTCGCCTTTGACATACGCTTCTCCTAAGGAAGAAAAGAGGGGAATACTCAGGTAACCTCCACACCTCTCAAACAAATCATATGCTCCCTGCCAGGGCTAAATCTGGAATAGTTGTTCTTAAAGAAATATTGGTATCTCCACAATGGAAAATTCTGAAGCTAATTAGAAAACAAATGCACATGCATTCATATATATCCACAGAATATCATAATTTATTTTGTCATATTTATACAGTCTTTCTGTCTGCCTATTATGTGGTATGCATACATTTGTTTTTGAACCCTCAAAGGTCTCAGTCTCTGGCATTAGTTACTTTAGTGGGCAGAGGCAACAGTGTTTACTCTGGGAGGTTATAGCTGTGTTCTCATGCATACTTGCTCTGTTCTTATGACCTTTATAGTTGTCTGATTACGCTATTACCAAAGGCAGGTTACTGAACTAGATCAGCTTTTTGACCTAGAAAAATTTTCTTATTCATGCTGCACCAATTTTAAATACATTTCTTGTGATGCAGCTATAGTTCTGAATAATATATATGCTCCTATTGTACAGATGTTGAATAGCTTCACGAGTAATCTTCTGTTTGAATTTTATTTCCAGATCAAAATAGTGTCTTATCTGACACTACAATAAATGTCTTTAATTTGTAAAAATGGCAAATAAAATTCAAAAGGCTAATATAACCTGTAGCTATGGTTGAAAAAGAGAAAGAGCAAATGTGCAGCCAGGATATATGTTAGACACCAGGATGTTCTTACCTGGCGAACAGCTCCAACCATCTCAGCACGACTAGATAGTCTAGCAGCTAAACGCCGCAGAACAGCAATATCCTCCAATAGCTTCTGGTAAGCTTCTCTGTGTTCATAGTGATGCCATAGGTGAGCTGAAGACTGAAGTGAAAATACATAAGCTTCACTGTCATGTCTTGTCACTTTCAGTTCAGATGAAGTAGCCTGAGCCACAGAAGTGGGTAGACGTGTCTAGGCAGAACTACATATGGACAAATTAGCCCCAGAGGAGTGCCATCGCTACCACCAGAGATAACTTAGTGAGTGCTGCTGCTCTGTTTCAGAATGGTGCTTCACTGCATACTGCAGGCACACTCTCTAAGTAGTTAAAAAGGGATAAGCACATTTGTAATACCTTTCCCTTTGAAATTAATGATGAATCATGCCTACCCACCTATGATCTTTACAAATGCCAAGCTTATTTGAACTAGTATTTACAAATGATTGTCAAAACACAAAGAACATTTTAATTCATTGGGCAAAAGGTGTTAAGAAGGCCACTTATGTTCCTTCAGTTCCATAATACTTCATTTACTTGGAAAACAAGACACTATAGTCTCAAGAATTCCAAATGTAAAGGAGTAATCAAAACCAATATGGCCTGTAAATCAAATGACAATTGCAATTTGTTGACCATTGTTTGTCAATCAATGCACACGTTTATGGACTGAATTAATATCCTCACTTTAATAGCTCAGATTAATACTGAAAAGCACTGAAGCACATAACTTCTTTGAGATTAGTTACCAAAAGCAAGAGTGATGTTTTATTAGCCAAAATCTTAGTGAACACCTCTTCACTGGATGAGATTTCTGTTCACAGGTAAGCCCAATACAATTCAGTTCAGACTTACAGACAGACTGTGATACTGAATGGTTCCTGTATTCTTAAAGTGCATTTTCAGGATGCAGCAGTTTTGGCATTGAGGTTGTCTTAAGTAATTAATCACTGTGTTGCTGCTCACAAAAATTCTCCCTCTGACCAGTTGTGTTGTGCCTTACTTCTCTGCAACCCCTCACTTGTATTACTGCAAGAGTAAGTCAATGCACTGAAATAATCTGTGTGAGAAGAATAACCTCTCCTCCTCCTCCTCTTTTCTCCCCTTTCAAAAGAAGGGAGTGATGTGCAGTAACTCTTTCATAAGCCCATGCTTACCAGACCTGATCACCTGGTTGTCCTGTACATGCCATGTGATGGCACATTATCTGCAGTTAAGAGGCCTTTCAAGTCACAAATCTCAGAACTCAGATCATTTCAGTATCTGACTCAACTGGACACTGCTAAAAAGGTCTTGCCCAGCATGGACCAGTGCTCAAATTGCAGTTCTGGATGCTCATAGCTTGAATTGAACAGCAAATTCATAGTATTTATTCCTGAAATCTGTTACAAGTTGGGCAACATCCTCTATGCATTTCCAGCAATGGTGGTCCACCCTGGTGGGAGAAAACACTCTCTCGTGTAGAGTGTGAGGCAGCATACAGTAAGGAGCTTGTACAGCAGAAAATGAAGTTCTGAGGCTGAACTTACAATATGTATAAGCAAGCACAGCCACACAAATTTCAAATGTGTGTGTACTTTCATGTACACTATAGTTCAGAAGAAGAATTATTGTTGTTTTCTTACCGTAATGGCTGCTTTAAAGTTTTCCAGTTCCTTCTCAGCATTCTCTTCAGTAAGATTTCTCTCTCTCTCTGCTTGGTTAATTCTAGATTCCAAGGTATAACTATCATTTCTAAAGGCCAAGGAAAGTTGTACAAATACATTCTGTTTGGATTAAAAAAGGGATTTTTAAATAAGTGTCACATTAATATAATTCCCAATAGCAACACATGAGTAAGGTATGTTTAACAAACTTTGGTGCTTAAATAAGGATTGAAATAGAAAATTGAAAATATTTTATAAATTATATTGTTTTAAAAAGTCACTTCTCTCTGCTTCCTCTAAAATATGAACAAATGCATTGCTGCCTCTTTTCCTGAATGTTTTTCTGGAAGATCAGTAGAGCAGAAACACAATGAAGGAAGTAGCCTACCAGAAGCATCAGAATCACAATGCATCTGTTTTCTAGCTGGACTTCCTCCAAGGGTCCCCAAGGTTTTTAAACAGATAGTCTGTGCAGAGGAAGTCCAGGGATGAGCTCACCATTAGCATTGTTTTACCTAAAGGATAAACACCTACCACTGAAGCCAGCAAAAGACTGAGTGCTAACATTTTTATTCTCTTGCACTCTGCTTTTAAAGATTGTTTCTTTCTTTACCAGATGCATTATTTGTTAGGATTAATACTTTGCAAAGCACAAAGCAGCAACAGTTCCATTAGATTGGAGCTATGTAAATAAAGATCTTTTTCTTGACTGGTATATGAAAAAAAACCAGAAGAAACAAAGGCAGCAAACTGAAGAGTAACCTACAAAAAATATTATTGGCTTGAACTGAAAAAGTAAAAATTATGTAACTGCAAGATATTACCAAAAACTGCCCCAAGGCTCCTATTGGTAAATAGAAAAAAATGCCATTTAGCTCATTTAGTTTCTGGTCTCAATTAATGTCATTTTTTTAACTACTTAAAGTATATCATGATAATTTCCAAAATGAATGCATATTTTATTAAAAAGAATGCACAAACAAATGTTTTGCTTATTCCTACTCTGAGTCTTTTTACGGTTTATTTTGTCTGGGACAATTCCCATAATTCATAAAATTGTTATTTTCATTGAGCTCAAGATAGCTTTTTTTACTGAGAAATATTTTTTGGAAAAAAAAAAAAGATCCCATTACCTGGTTCTAATAACCACTCTTAGACTTACAGTATCCACTTAAAATTGAGGCATATGTCTAAAACAATGAGTTTAAGAAGACACTTACCTCAACTTCTTTTTCAGTAAGTGGAGGGGAGCTAGAAATAAAAGCCAAAATTTCACATTTTAATCAGTTTTGTCTCTAAAAAAAAAAGTTAGTGTAATATTTAATCATAAAGAAAAACAAAAAGACATCCTACCCTTAAATATTTTATTATTTCTTTTCATTAAACCAGCGTTTAACTAACCCAATTGTGCTTATTTTGGCTAAACGCCATGTTGGGTTTTTTTTAAAAAAAAAAAGCAACTGCACAGTATCACCTGAGTATTGGCAAAAAACACACAAAATTTCTGGCAACTGCAAATACTGCTATCTGCACTACATTGTGCTAATGTGCGAGTAAAAAACCAAGACGGAAATTACCCTTTTGGAGTTGTGAGTGACTTAATACATTAAACTTTGGATTATTATCTTCACCCATTTTCCTTCAGTTAACAGTTGAAACCTCATGAAGTTGATGATCACAGATAATCACAGATGGGCAGAATTCAAAACCCATCTCACTGTATACTGAACTATCTCGTTTTGGCTGCTAACTTTGCTAGAAGTTAGCTAAAAATGATTCTGACACTGACAAAATATGCGTTTGAGTTTTCTACCAAAAGGATGATTACTGACTATACAAAAACTAGAAAAAGTTATGAAAATGCAGTTCATAGAATACCATAAAAGAAATGAGGTAGACAACATTATATTGTAAGATCTCACTTAAAGGCAGTCATTCCATATGTTTGAATTTACACGTTCTTATTCCCGGTAATTGTTCCACAACATCAGAGTGCTATTCAGTTTTATGCAAGTGAACAGACATAAGAAACATCTGAAAGAAATGACAGGAGCTATATATACAAGTTCTACCTGGTGCCAGTGATAGGAGTCATGGTTGACATATATATAATGCATTGTGCAGACATGATACTTTCAGAAAATTCAAATATTATTGTACTATTCATTGCACCATTAATCCCAAATATAGAAATCAACAGTTGTGGCATCAATGAGCCTGATTTTTCTTATTGTGTAGAATTATATTGATACTTAGTGACTAGAAGAAGGGAGGCCAGTATGTCCCCTGTGTTGGAAAACTGTTTTGTGCCTAAAGTAGTAGTTCATATTATTGTTATGAAACTATGGACTTTTGTATCATTTTAAACATAAACCTCCCCCCAAAAAGGAAAATTCCACTTAAATTCTGTCAAGAAAATGTTAAATTTGGATATTAGTAAACTCAAATCAGAACAGAAACTGGTATTTCTAAAGGTCTGAACAAACACCTGGCAGGTATAGTCTATTAGGACTCCACCTCAGAAGAGTATGGACTAGAAGATTCCCTGGCTATAGTTACATTTCATTACAATAGCTCTAGTTTCAAATGATCTCTTGTATGGTGCTGCCCTATGCATCTATAACATGCAGGCATACTGTTTCAGATTGTATAAGAGGGAAAGGAGAAAATCCTGAGCCATAGCAGGTGTTAAGCAACCTGTTGATAAGTGCCTACTTGCACAGCCCAAGATCAGGGAATTTGTGAGCGAGTCCTTCAACTACATTTGCAAAATAAACTCCATTTCCCTGAAAAATCCTCACCTGCAGCAAAACTGCAGAATTCTTACATGCCCAAATTTTACCATTTGAAAGCCTGATTATTTTTCCAGGGGAAAGAAATACTGACATTTTCAACATGAATTTATATCTGCAGTAGCAATCCTGAAAACCCAGGAGGGGATAGACCAGTGGAAAAATCTGTATTAAAATGTACTTGTAGCACAAAAATTAGGTTTCAGACTTTTTATGTAGAACTTACAAACTAATTTTAAAAGTTGGCCAGTTATTGGAAGTCAGTGCAGTCCCCAAAATTTTTCAGAAAATCCATGCTGCACATTGTAAGATGCAGCAATTTCTCTACTTATATGAATCCCCCATGAATGGAACTCCATAAAGGGAGTTCACTGAAAACCATTAGTGTGTCTTTCCCAGGATGATGTCTTTCCACTTCTAATGAGCTTTTACCTTCCTGGAAGTGATTTGTGCACTCGTAGTTTTCGCAGCAATACATCAGAAATGCTGGGCATTACATCAGAGCTATTCTTTGTCTCTTCCTCTTCAGTGGGGGAGGGGAGAGGTGAAGGGCCTAAGGACATTTTCAGATAAAAAATTTTTTATGTTATTTGAAAAGTCATGTATTAACTATAATAGTCAGCATCTCAGAGCATAGAACCTTCTAACATAACAGTGTCCTTTTTAAAGTCAATGAGGTTTTCACACCAACTCTACTGGGAACAAAAGTGAACAACAAGAAAAAGTTTTCCATCCCTTCATGCGGAATGTTACTTCCTTTACTGCATATGGTGATACATCACTTGTCTCTCCTTTACTGCTAAATCTCCCGTCTTAATTTCAAGTGGTGGCAACAAAAGTAATCAGTACAATTGTCATCCTCTGTATAGAAAGACAGAAGTACTATGTGCTCTGACAATCTCTAATGCACTGAAAAATAATTATTGTTTTAGTATGTTTCCTAAAATTCAAACTGAACCTAAATTCATTGCTGGAACATCTAACCTAACATTTCACATTTGTGCTTTACCAGTACAGTTACATAATTTCTGGAATATTTTAGCTTAGATTTTGTAATAGAGTACCATCATTTTCTAAGGCTCTAAATGCCACCTGCCAAGATGAAGTCTATTCTCACGTACTATAATATAGATTTTGTGCACCATTTATGGTGATGAATCTACAACATGTACTTGTTTGCACTGAATGTTCATTGAAACAGGATATAAATGTTATAATTGCACTTTCTACTTCTGTCACTTTCACAACGACCAAAATATGGCTCAAACTTTTTTTTAATTCATGTTATGTAGTGTTTTTATTCTTCTTTTGTTTAATCACATATATAATAATTCCCTTTTCTTCTTCTATCTTGCCAGGATTTAATGAAGGACTCTCCTGCAGGAAAGTCAGGTTCTCCAATCTGAATCCCAAGCTTGGGAAGATATCTTTGTACAGCTCTCCTGTTCATTTAGCGTAACAGAAAGATTCTTAGACTTGGAAAACAAACAGTGTGCAAAAGCTCCAATTTTGTAAATGTGGAGAACATTAACATCAAAGACGGAAAATAATGGGAGATTCTTTCTAGTAACGTTTTAATCATAGAATCATAGAATCACAGAATGGTTTGGATTGGAAGGGAATTGTGCATTGCCTTTATATTTGAAAATGACAGTATTTACTGTCATTTTCATTTCATTTTCCTGTGCATTGCCTTTATATTTGAAAATGACAGTATTTACTTAAGAACAGTCATGCATATCCCCATAAAAAGCCAGCCTGACATCACAATGTCTCCAGTCTAATATAACTTATCTAAACTTCTGTAGATGCAAAGTTGTGTTTACTAAGATGATCACAATAACTTGGCATTGATAGCAAAACATGATGGAGCCAGTATATTTGATTCATAACAGTAATAATGAAGTAGCTGGTTATTTCCTATTGTTTAAGCAAAATTACTACTCCAGTGAAAAAGCACAAGGAGGCTTTTATGACAATGTAAGGAAGTAAGTCTCCCTAACAAATGAACTAAGAATTTGACCCTTCACTTGTTTACCCCACTGAGGACAAGGAGTTGACTCTTAATGTTCTGGCTATCATTTACATAAGTTAGTAGACTTGAAAAAGCTCGTGACACTCATGAGATCTTGGTTGAAAAGCTGGATAAAATAATGCTTAGCTTTTCATAAAGTTTTCCTCAAAAGTTTCAAATCTGCCAAAATTAGATAACAGGCTGGTAAAACAGCAACTATTTTACACTTTCAAACAGAGCCTGCTAAATAATTCCTAGGAAACTATATATTAGCAGTGACAGGAATAATATTACCATATCTAAGAATCCAAAGATATAATCAACTACATACAGAAAGAGGACAAGAAGTCTCTTTTAATCTTGTTTCATTCAGACTGAAGATGAATCTGTTTCCAGAGATAACAAGAAATGTAATATCTCAGCCATCTCCCTGTATAACAGAAACTTTAAGGCCTTATGAAACAGTCCCAAAGTAAATATATGAATTAGCAAAATGAACAGTATTAGGAGAAATGGAAATTGTCTTTGGATCAAATCTTGGACAATCAGTTTCAGCTCCTTTCACATTAACCATGTCCACTTCAGTTAATGTGGCCCTAAAAGCATCCTGAACAAGTTCTGATTTAACTACTTCCAAACACAAATTCACAGTTTTGGTTTAAATATTTTCAAGTAATCACACAGCACTACTGCTACTTAGTTCTTCCAGTTGTTGAATTGTCCTCAGGATTATATCTTTGGTCTTTATTTCTATTCTGAATCTTTTTAGATGAAGCCTATAGGCATCAAATCTCATTTGCTTTTGTTAGATTGGAAAATAATTTGGTGCCAGATTTCTGTTTCCTCAAATATGTAGACTTTTAAGCCTTTTCCTTATTAAAAAAAAAATCACACAAATTGAGCTAAAAACCCCCCCACTTATTGTAAGACTTATTTTTCCAATCATTCAATCACATTTATGTCTCTTCTCTGGCCTTACTCTTACCTATCCACATCGATGTAGAACTGAGGACCAGAAAATAACATCCCATTTCAATATTTGCCACACATATACTAAAATAAAAAAGCAGGAATAAAGCATTCCATCTCTTATTTATACTTTTAAGGATCAAATTCACCCTGATGGTCACATCCATTCAATCCATCACTGCTGAAACTTTTTTTTTTTTTTTTTAGAAAATCACTGAAACTTGAGACAGTCCTCTATCTATTAAGTACAAGCTAGACTCTGCTCCAGGTATGCATGTTTTCATTTGGTTGTAATAATACCTACAGTACCTTGGCTCAGATTATCAAGAAATTCAGGTACTTCCATTATTGGTCTCCTCCATGACTGCTTCATTACAACTACTATTGCATTTGAAAAAAAAAATACCTTTTTTTCCCCCCTCCATATTAGACAATTATAAAAATCAGTGTCTACCAAACAAACACTCCTTATGATACTGCACCTTTTTCCTGTTCAGCTGCTTCACTAAGTTCAGGAAGCTTAAGTCCAACTAAATTTTGATTTCTCATCAAAATATGCTCCTGTTAAGAAAAACAGTAACATTTCTAAGTAATTTAACTACAACTCTCAATTTAAATATCCCTGTCATGTGAACACTAAATAGAACATTCACTTCAGTTAATAAACATAATGGAGATATTTATAATGTTATAGTCAGATGCTACATTGCATGGATGCATGTACATTCTCACACACACACACTCTTAAATATTACATAATTCAAATTTCATACATGCATTATTTAGAAAAATTCCTGGTCATGCAAACAGAGATTTGCAACATGTCCCTTACTCAAGTAGAAAAACTGAGTTTTGGTAAATTAGAGTTTTATTAAGTGAGAGCAAAAAAAGCAATTTTTGATATAGCCATAGTAATGAGTAACTAACCCAGAAAGGAGAGAAAATTCAGAAAACCAGAAATATGAAACTTTGCCACTTTGATTTATTCAGATTTTTTCACACCAAAGCGTGCTATGCTACAGCTGCAAGTTAATACTTCACAGTTACTGAACAGCGATGTATTCCTTCTATTTCTTACAGGTCAGGAAGAATGTATTCAAGATTTAAACCTTGTTATCTTATTTCTCCTTCTATCATCTTCTCATTTTCTATTTTCATACCTTTAAATATATTTAAAATTCATAAACACCTGCTTTTGTTTATAATTAGGCAATTCCTACTGGAGACAGAGTTCCAAACTCACTTAACTGAAATTAGGAATTGTAAGTCTCGCCATCTTCTACCTGCCTTTGCTCTCAGAGACACCCAGTTTTAAAACTCTGGACACTTTAAGGCATTTTCTGATGGTGTTCAATAAGCAAAAAATCATACCAAAACAATTTCCTGTCCCCTGAGATCTTACAAATGTTATTCCAAAGGCTAGTATTGAATGACAGAACTACTGCTCTTAGAAGGGAGAATACCAACCAACACAGGACTCAAAAAAACTCAGCTGAACAAAGTAGAAGTGATTTTTAAATACAAAGAAAGTTTACAAATAGTGTATGATACGCAGAGGCTTGTAAGCCCTTAAACAAGAGCACAGTAACGGTCTCCAAACTTCAGTTAAAGATTTCTGCTTATATGCAAGTCTCAGCCCACTCATACAGAAATAAGTCAATTAGTAAATTGTGAGAGCCTGTGGATCTGAGGACAACTCTGAAGGAGCAGAAAAATCATAGTACAGGGAAGCAAAAGAAGTGAAAGAGCATAAATTATTATTTTAAAGAGAATGTTGTTACATACCGAGGAAGGAAAGACTCTTCAGATCTAAAATTCTCTTTAGAAATCAAAATAGATCATTTTAGTCCTAAGTATGTTTTACAAATGACATGATTGTTAACCAACTGCTTCCCGTTAATAAGTCACATAAATGATGCAAATATAAGATATATTGTGTTTTCGACTCACCTTTCTGTCACAATAAAAGCAATTAGTACTTCCTTTACATCAGTATTACATTTTTTTTCTGGGGGACAAAACTTGCATGTGCAGGAGCACGTGTATACATGCATATTGAAGACACCACAGTGCAGTTGATGCATATTTGAAGAGAACTAACACATAGAATAATTCCATGGAATTTAAGTTACAGGTCACAGTTTACAAAATTGCAAAGGAAAAACATGATACAATTCTATATTGATTTTGCTGAAACTTTTTCCATTATATTATGGTATGCTTATTGTAAGGATAAAAATAATGCTAAGCAAGTTGAAAGTTTAGTAAGATATGAAAATAACTTTAAAACAGGACACAACTGAAGTCTAGGACTCACCTCTCTGAGCTTTGTCAATTTCTGCATTCGAACTGGTTGAACTTGGATTTGAAGATCTTTGAATGCTTTTAATTGACTGCTAGATTTATTACCAACAAAGCTTTTCTCTTCCTCAGATGGTAATTTTAAAGGTGTTTTATCTTTCTGTCCAGGATCCAAGCTATCCCATGATACAGCCCGTAGCAGAGGAGGACGCAGTCCGCACAGTTTAAATTCTGGTTTACATGAAACTTTATGGTCCCTCACTTCTGGAATAGGAAATTTTAGCTTTGAATCTATATTTCCTACTCCTGGTCCTGGTAAATGGGTTCTTAAAGGAACATCATTTTCTTTTGCTTTCTTGAGGAATGATTTTCCAAATTCATTTTCACAAACATTCATGCAAGCGTTCAGAGACATTCTGCCACCATCAGTACCTGAAGGGGAGCATTTAGGTAAAGTATCCATACGTTTATGTGGATCAAAGTTTTCTTTTTGTTCTGAGAGCTTCTCTTTGGAGTTTTCAAAACCAGCAGAACGAGGAACCAATCTTCCCTGAGAAATCTTTCTTTGATCATTCTGCTTTCGATCAATTAATCCTTTTGCAGCATTCTGAAAGTAAAGGGACATGCATAAAACAGAGAAACAAGTGCAGATTTCTCTTTTCCCTTGCCTGAAGATGGATTTTCACTATAAAAAGTCATTTCGTTTTCAGTGAAATTTGCTTTTAAACACGTGCTGTTGACAAAAGAGATTTTAAAAACTAACTTGAAAGAACACTGAATTGGGAATCTCTTCTCTGGACTTTTAAGATAACAACTGCCCGGTCTATTATAGCAATCCTCATATAGCCAAGTTTCTCACCATCTTAATGTAAGGGGTGTCTGAATACATGCCTTTAACCCTGTAACTTATAGCACTGTTACTTTCCTTTGATTGTCTTCTTTTAGTCCCTCACTTCCCAAGGGAAAAAACAATCGGCTTGTATACAAAGTTAAAGTACATATTGTAATTTTTCTCTTCTTCCTTTGTGTGCATTACCATAGATTATAATTTGATTGCAGTCTCTACAAGAAAACTGGCAAAAGAATGTGTGCCTATACCTTGGTTACTTTTGTACAGAATCTGTATTTTGTCTAATGGCACCTGTGTCAGCAATTTAAGGCAACCAATGTACAATCTAACTGCGGGCTCTGCCTTAGACGTGTTGCTGCTCATCTCCTTTGTAGTTACTGCTTCAAAATTCTGCTGCCATACTGGTTTTTGTAAGTATAGCCTAATCCACTCACAGCAAAATCTCTTCAAAGGACCATCTGATATTACCTAATACAAGCTAGGAAGCACTCATATAAACTGCTCCACCAATAGTTTCGTAGTAACATCCCATCAATGGTATAAGACAAAAGGTACAGTAACTTCTTCCACTGAAACAAAGGGGTCTGAAAGAGTATGTCTGTCTAAAACACCAGCATACATCAAAGTGGCTATAGGAGATATTTCAACTTTACTTATGAAGTTATTTATTGTACTGATTTTAATTGAGCTAGAGCAGAGTGCATGATAGGATATAAAGGCTAGCTGTGGCCCTTTGTCCTGCACTACAGTTCCGGGTGCTTCACAATTTCTTCGAGCACTATCATTTTTCTTTTCACTCGGTGAACAGTCTTTTAGCCTTTTTAGTCACATGAATAAATCACATATGTGCTAAGACAAACAGGTAGGTTTTGTACAACACAGTGTGAAACACTTACCTCTGCAGTTTGCCTGTCATCCTCTTTCACAGTTCTGTTATTCTAGCAAAAAAGGAAGAAAAAAGTTGCTTTACAAGGTCATCTTTCACATCTATGCTGCAAGTGTTAGATACAGATATTAATGGATGAACTTTGAAACTTTGCTTGTCACATTTATTTACGAAGTAATTTTAGGGATTAATTTTTTCCATAAATTAGGATTACATTAGATCTTTTTTTCATTTTCTACACTTAACAGATCTCTATGATCCTTCAGCACTCGTTACTTCATGGATTTTTTTCTTTAGAATTAACATTTATTAGTCTCTCACTCTGCAGAAGAAACACATCAATAATCTAACCTTGTTATAAAAAATGGTATTGAAAACATAGTGTAATACAGCACTGTAATAACCAGGATACTGTGCAGACTATTCAGCCCTTTCTTACCTGCCCTGGAGACAGTGACTCGACGCTAGTGGTTGTGCATGAATCAGACCCTAGAAAGACACACACATAGTTAGGGCATATCCTGATGTTTTGCTCAAAATTTTTACTACTACAGCATTAGCAAACACATACATGCACAATTCCATGTAATACATTAAGGACAAAATTTAAATGTGGAAAATACTATTTAAAAGAGGAAAAAAAATTATCTAAAATATAGCAAGTGAAAGATCATTAAAGTTTTTGAAAACTCCATTATCAAAGAGAACTTAAAAAATGAGAACATGTAACCCAGCAGCAACACAGCAATAAAAATATAATACAAAAAATATACATATAAATATATATTGTGGACATTCATGAGCTTTGTCACATTCAGGAGGAGATGCTTGAATCTCCAGATTTTTACTTCTCAAGAGATATTTAAAAATACATTTTTGGTGAGCTTTAAAGTTAAAAAATTAAGCCTGTATAGGTCATTTTACCTGATGGAACTGGAAGAGTGAGAGAGTTGCTCCGAGATGTTACTGGTGAAACTTTAGGACTAAGTGTAGGAGAAACTGCTTCATTCAAACAAAGACAAAACCAAAAAAAGATAATTTTACTTTACAGGTTTGTAGTTTCTGAATTTTTAAAATTCAGATAAGATTAAAACATTAATCTCTCAGTTGTCAGTCATGTTTATCCAGAACCTGACAAGTCATTTTAATTACCAAGGTGTACTTAGCAACTAGGAATTTAGAGGAGTTTTTATCCTGTATACCTGACAAACTAATACAATTCCATTGATACATAGAATCCTTATTCTCCTCAGTTTTCTGATACCATAAGCACGGCAGAGAAAATAGACACAAGAGAAAGATTCACAAGGAATTTAGGAAAAAAAAAAAAAAAAGAAAAGGAACATTTAATTTTAAAAAATATAATAATTTTTTTCCCCTCAAAGTGTCAAGCCAATTTTAAGAAAGAACTTTGCTTTAAATTGCCATTTCAAAGCTAAATTAAAGTCCTTCATGATAAAATGGCATTTGGTCCTAGTTTTCACACACTTCATATGAGGGGAAAAAAATTATTTCAATTTACATTCTAGAACAAAACATTTTCTTCTACTGTTTTTAAAGAAGGATCTGGTCCATTTAGTTTATGACTGTGTTCATAGTAGAAGTCTGTAATTACATCTGGGGCAGGAATGTTTTTTCAGCAGTATAAATCTTGCAATTAAAATTTCATCTTATGTACAATAGGAACTTTAAGAAGAAAATCTTTACAAATAGAAATTTGTGACCATTTTTTAGATTCCAATAGAAATACTTCATGTTTTCCTGCTACAATATTTGCAGTGTGTCTTTCAGGCATTTAAAAACTTTACACAATTTTCCAGTATTACATCTGAATATAGAGATTAGTCATTTCTGTTTTATATGGAATTGTGAGGAGAGGCAGAGGGATTCTGACCTTCGAATTAATGAAGTGTACATATACAATAGCAATGTATGCATTACAGTAGATACTCCTTTATGCCTTTGCAGATCTTTGAAGTAGAATATAAAATCTTGTTTTCAGAATCTGCACCTACCTGTAGGTGACTCTGGAAGGCTGCTTCTTGACTTTCTGCCTCTGCGCATTAGAAACCTCTCGCTCACCTTCTTTGCTTCTTCTAGTAATTCAAGGTTTTTCTTTTTGTCTTCCTCTGATATTTTGACATCTGGTAGCTGATCATTTACCAGATCAATCACATGACCACTGTTATCTGGGTAGAAAACATCAGAATTAGAGCTCGTATTTCCAGATAGATTGTGGCATTTCAGAGCAACAAGTACAAAACATCTATAAATTTAGCTTTGAGCTTTCATTTAACAAACGTTCATGTCTGCTCATTTCTACTGTATTCTCAAGTCTACAGCAAGTCCTCAAAAACACAGATAACCCAGTCAGATTAAATAACTATGATCAAAGATGCCCTGGTATGTGAAACTGGCTTTTCCAGCTGTGTCCCCAATACAGTTTTTCTAATTTATCAGTAAAAGTGGCATTAGATTAATCTAAACTAGCAGTCACAACTTTTCTGTCCCAGACTGAGTTTTTTTGGTGGATTTTGTATGTTCAGTTTTTCAAGGCTAAAGTCTCACAAACTCACCTAGCAAAGATTTATGCACAGTAGTTTTAACTTCCCTCTATTAGGGAAGAGGGAACTTATAACTGTTTTGCAATAAGAGCAAGTTTCTGAAGAACAGCTTGGGTGAGAGGGAGGGAAGACATCAGGTAATAAGAGAAATATTTTTAAATTTCACAAGGGTGATTACAGAACAATCAGTCTTCAGAAAAGCTAAGGACATAGCAATCAGTAAAAACTCAAGGATTTTTAGTTTGCAGGTGTGGGGTTGTCTGGGGTTTTTTTAGGGGGGGGTGAACAACTGAGCTTCTTAATAAGAATATGTAAAGAGGACTTATTAATCAGAGTCCTTAAAAGAAGCTCAATTACTATAAGCAATCTGAGTTGATAAAACAGGATTTTTATCCTGAATGTTTTGAGTATTAGAGAAGTAGCAAGGCTCTGATATTTGCGGATGCTTTAGTAAAGAAAAAAAAATGAAGATGTATCTGTTTCAAGATGCTTAAGAACTAGGTTCTTCAGTGGTAGTGTAAAGGGTGCTTCCCTTTAAAAGCCTCTGGGAATACTGGAATAGTCACCTGATAAGCTTGGTTTTAAGTCTCTCACAAAACCAGTATTTCTTTTAAGGTATGTAATGATCACACGAGTTCATAATTTTACAGAAAGCTGTTTTCATGCACAGGATAAAACCGTGATAATTGGCTCAAATTAAGTTAATGGCTGGGAGAAAGTAACATTGTTGTAAGATAAAAATAATTCTTAAAATTTATTCTGAATTTCTG